AGAAGTGTTCGATATAAAACAAATCAAAATTTAGTATTCAAACTGTAAAACCCTTAAATTGTAATGCAAAAACATGAGAATTTCACCATTTTCAGGGCATAACCTATTTCTTGCCGGCTCATAAATGTTACCTCCAGTGCTGAAAATTCTTTCACTTTCAATGGAAGATGCTGGGGCAGTTAAATATTTCATAGCTAGTTCGCTCAAATTAGGAAAAAGTTCTTTTGAACTTCTCCACCACAAAAATGGGTCACTATGTCTTTGTTTAAGGGGTAAATGTAAATATGTTTCTAATTCTTGATCGAAACGTTTGTTCATTTCTTTCGCTTTTTCTTTCTTTTTAAAAACATGCTCTTCTTCATTCTTTCGTTTACCAGAAGCTAATTCATCAAATAAATTAGAAAAACTTAAAGATTCTCCTCCATCTTCATCATATCCAGAAGTAGAAACTTCAAAATTTAATTTTTGTTCAGATTTTGAATTATCAACATCTTCTAAGCTACCAATTGGTCATCTTTTTATTTCCTCTACCATATCCTCTTTTTGAAATTTCATTTTTATCTTGGATCTAATAAAAATGACAAGCATAAAGACTTATTTTCTATACAGGTATACCTCGCCTTACGTCGGTAATTGGTTCCAGGAGAACGACTTAAGTCGAAAAACGACGTAAGTCGAATTTACTTGTCTCCAAATCTACTTGTCACTAGGCTAAACCATAAATTGCCAATTCCCGTTCTGTATTTTATTTATTAATGCATTTTTAATAATGTATGGTTAATAAGGATCTATTTTAAGCTTACAAACAAATAAATTTTAGTTTTTAATATAGTACAGAAAAAAGTAATCTAAATTTACGAATGCATGTACTGTAAATACAGTACATACTTGTAAATGTATATATTTTAATATGATTTTATGTGCTTTAAACGCTTTTCTAGTGATATTACGACTTCAATATTTGTGGCGGACAGACGTAAAGTCGAATAAAATGACTTAAACTTGATTTTTATTTTTCCATATACTTTTTTGACAAACGACGTATAATCGGGAACGACGTAACTCGAAACGACGTAAGTCGAGGTATACCTGTATATGCTGAAAAAAATTTTTTATTGAATTTTTTAATTCTTCTATTGTGGTATTAATACCACTAAAGGAACTATTACTCTTTGCTTTTGATAAGAATAATTTCAGAGTCTCTATTGTGAGAATTATTGAAGATGAGTTGGTTTCTCGTTTGAAGGCTTCCACGGTAATTTCTTCGAATGGTCTTAAAAGTAGAACAACTTTTTCAATGAGAGACCACTGATATGGGCTCAATGTAGGAATTTTATTATCTATAGCATACGTGACCAGGGCTTTTTGCTGTTCCGAGTTTTTTGCAACATGTAGTATGTAGAATTCCAGCGAGTAGGAACATCTTAATTTAATTTGTGTTTCTGAAAACCTAACTTGTCTCGCAAATCTTCCAATTTGCTTACAGCTACAGCAGAATGATTAAAATGTGTGACAATATTTCTATTAACTGTGATTATAGTTTTCATATCTTGTTGAGAAAATATGCATTCGTTTAGTGTCAGCTGCAGTGTATGAATAAAGCATGATAATGTCTCTAAGTTGTAATTCCCGATTCCAGCTACCATATTTGCTGCAGAATCTCTCAGTACTAAGAATATCGTATCACTTGTCAACTTATACTGTTCAAGAACAATGTTTATCTATCTACTGATTCGTGTAGCTGTGTGGGAATCTTCAAAGGGAACAATTCGCAAAACAGCTCTTTTTTGCTGAAAATCATCCTTCAACCAGTGGGCTGTTACACTTAAAAAAGGAGAATTGTTTGTAGTTGCTGTCCAAATATCAGAAGTAAAGAAATATATTTTGTTCTATTAATTAAACACAGAAACACTTCAGCTTTTTAAACAATGTCGAAGTTTCCATGCGCCAACAATTAAGTGTTGAATTTATTTTATAAACTTTCTCAAACAAAGGAAGAGATTGTTTATTTTGCGACGATATTCGATCATCTCTTGTTTACCTGACCCGAAAGGGATGGAAATACCAGACAGAGAAAAATGGGTTTTTTCTACGTTATAATTAACCGTACAATTAACTCCAGGATCTCACACTATTAACGCAATAAATTATTAACGCTAATCGGCCGATTAATCGGTATCGGCCGATAATGCATGGCCGATTAATCGGTAATCAGCCATTTTGCTTATCGGTGCATCTTTAATATTTATGGAGACTATTCACTCGAAAGTATTCGCTGGTGTTTTAAGAGGATGAACTATCTAAAAGCACGCTATTCTGAGATTTAATCTAAATATATAAAATTGCTTGTCCTGACTGACTGACTGACTGACTGAGTGACTCACTGACTGATTCATCATCGCCCAGAGCAAACCGCTTAACCTAAAGAGGTGAAATTTGGTACACAGGGTACGTCATGGAAACGCACACTAAGAAGGGATTTTTCGAAATTCCCCAGCGGGGGGAGAGGGAGAGCATTAAGACTTAACCGGAAGAACGGCTTTTACTGTACTATTTTACATGCGATTTTTTGTTACGTTTAGTCTTCATTAAGTACTTAAGTGTATTAAATTAACAACCTTTCAGACATTGTTATAAATATTTTTATATATTTCGATTTTTTAACCAAATGTTCGAACTTTTTTAAATTCGAATTTGTTATTGCATATTGGTTCGATTATAGAACGATTGTAAACGTTCCAAATTGATCAAATTGAAAATAGTTCGCTTGATTCTCGGCAATTCTCATCATTCTCGGCGGTAGGTGTTATATAACAATTACTATGGTTGTTGAAATACTGAATATAAATGGGGGTTGCTTGCAAAACCTCCGCGGGCGAAGTCGCGGGTAACAGCTAGTTGTATATATAATTAATTATTGGTCAATTCTGTAATTCAAATACTGTTTTTAAGTATTATTCATATCGAATTTTTTTCTAAAGCATAATCCCTTAGCATTATATCTTTTTCAATTTATATATAGCCTACATAAACCTTGTTTTGTCTCCCTTGTAAATGGTGCCCTGTTAAAGATCTATAAATTTAAATAAATTTGGAGTGTACTGTACTTAGGAGACGGATAATATATATTTTATATATAATTTAGGATTGCTATTGTGAGAAAAAAGAATACGCTTGCAATTTATGCTGCATGAACGAAAGCAGTCCAACTGCTTCTTGTAAACCCATTCATCTCTTCCCTGGTGTTTCCGTAAAACCAAGTGAAGAAATTAAAAGACGTTGGTACGAACCGTGCCTTTCCTATAAAGGAGTATGCAATAAGTAAGTTCCCAAATATTTAATATTATTTTTATAAAGATACATTTTACATTTTAATAATTTGTTTAATTCTTTTCTAGTTTTGCGGAATGCGAGATGATTTCATGGTCAAGATATTTTTATTCAAAATCAGACTTTCAGTTTATTTTAGTTCTGGTTTTCCTGATTTTAACGACGTGTAGCATAATTTTGGCTATTTTATATATAAAAATTTATAGAAAATATTTAATTAGTCAATTTCGCAAAGAATGTAAGAACAGCGAAATTGTTTTTAACGAAAGATTATATGTAAATGAGAAATTCAAAGACATTTTCTTCCGTTTGATAACATTGTTTCCTATGATTTCTCCTCAGATAATACTACAACTGATAAGAGAATTAGAGATGGAATATTATGTAGCAATTGCATTGATTTCTAATTCTGTGCCTATCAGAAGTGAATTTATACATAAAATTGATATTCCCGAGATAATTAATTACTCGATGGTCTTCGATTATACTCAATATCAGTCGGGAAAGAAATCTCTCTATCTTCTTAATAAAGCGTTTAGTGTCAAGCTGATTGGAGGACACAAACATAAAGTTCCTCAACGTCATCAAAAGAAAAAGATCCTCAACAAAAAGACTAACGAACATAAGTCCTTTGTTGATATTCTTCCATTTAAATTCAAAGGAAAGAAAAGAATTGCAGATAATGAAAATATCCCCGAAACAACGAATGAAACAATGAAATAAAATTGAAGATAATTTCAAAAATTTTATTTATAAAAATTTTCATATTTGGAATATATTATTCATAATTCGTAAATTCAAAAGTAATAAAATATATATTTATATATTTAATTTAATACTGTAAGGTCTCGTTTTATGCGGTGGATACGTTCTACAGAAAAGCGCATATAAAAAATTCGCATAAAAAAAGACTTTTTGCTTTGAAAAAGTAGGGATACGTTCCGAAATTTTCTAAAATCGCATAAAACCAAAACAACGAGTTAAAATTAACTTAAAACCGCATAAAAAAGTTTGCAGAAATTAAAAGAAATAGGCTGCTTATTACTGCAACTTGAAATCAGCAAAATTTAAACTCGCTACTTATTATAAAAATGAACAAAACACCGCTAAAATAAAATTTAATTTCAAAACAATTACAGTTTATACCTTTCAATGCGAAACTCAGAATGATGTAATAGCGACTTGTCGATGGTAAGTATCATGTACAAGGGGAATCCCCGAATTGCAAAAGCTCACTCTAAAAACAAATCACTGACATCTGGATGTGAAGAGTTAATTAAAACCCCTTTAGTTCCTCGCCCGAGTTAACTCGGGCAGGTTACATAGCGTTACATAAAACACGGTCCTTAAGGCCATTTTTGAAATTTTTTTTTTGAATTTTTGGAATGTTTTTTAAGTCTCCAAATTTTTTAAAAATATTTAAAAATATACGGCCAGCTAGTGTTCACCCTACTTTAAACCCTTGTCCTCCCGCGACGTCTATGAGAATGCCCCGGGAAATCCAACTCCAGCTGTGTTCAAGGTCATCCAGATGTGTAAACAATGACTCATCGGTGTTAAATTTCACAGAAGGGCGAGACAAAGGAAGTTAAACTTTGAAGCTTTTTCTTCAAAATTAACGCATTTCTTTCGTTTTTTTCAGTTTTAAGTATTTTTTATGTTTAATTACATTTATATCAAAAATTGCTAGGAACTAAAGCGATTAAGGTAGATCTAGCTGTCCTTTACATCCATAAACGTTATATGTCAGTGGAACAAATGGAGTAAGCTTTGAGCGTTCCACGATTTTTGGAGACTGTCTATACGCGGGCTTCCTAAACAAGCCTATATGAATGTTTGTCCAAGAAATTTTTGGATGGAATACAAACCGCACAACTTCAAAATCGCATAAAAATAATCCGCATAAAAAGAGACCTTACAGTATAGAGCAACAATAAAGTTTCCTGTCTTTGTGAATTGACAATACTAATGTTATAAAAGATATAATTTAAAGCTCGGGTCCCAGAAAAGTCCTTTTAATGTCATGGGCATTAAAAGAGGCAACTTTTTGAAGCCCATTATGTGTATTGTAGGACATAAAAAACGGGGTCTACGATGAGAGACAGAGTACGGCATTTATGAGTTAAATAATGAAAATTTCTGAGACATCCTATCCAAACACGAATCCGATCCTTCAAAGCGACATGTGCACTATGAACATCCGACTTTTTAGTAGAAATTAAATCTATTCTCTGGCAATACTTATAATGAAGTAACGCAGGAACATTACTAAATTTATATCGCATATTAATTTTCTCTGATAATGGACTAAATATATTGTATCTTTATACATTTTGCTTTATATCTTCATCATTAATTTACTTTGTAACGAATATTTTTATGATCAAACACTTTTCAAAACAAGGAAAAGATATCGTTCTTGGTAAAAAAGAATTTCTACTGAATATTTCTAAGGCGCACTTGTTTTGTCAGAATAGTGCACCCTCTTACGTCATTTTGACGTCGTTCTTATGAATTTTTTTAATGAGAAAGCGCAAAATAATATCAAATTGACGTAATAATGTGCACCAGAGCGACTAAATATACAGGCGAACGCATCTGTCATGTTCGGTCCAAAATCTTACCTCTCAGCCATAGAAAAGTATTATTATTTAGTCGATGTTTACATTTAATTTTTGCGGGAAAATTTAATTACGGTGAATGAATCTACATTTGGAATTATAAACAAATATTTTTTTTTAGTTTTGAATGACAAAGTAATCAGTAATTTTTTATTCTCATCTTTAAGTTAGCTTTGTTTTTATTTTAAATGTTTCTTCTGTATACTTTTCGGAAAACGATTGAAATAGTTTGAAGTTTAGCAGATGACGATGAAGGCCAGTTCTCTGGACCTTTAATTAATCTTCCATCTCTTCGACCAAAATCTTTCGAAAATAGGAAAAGCTTTTTTAGGTTCTTCTGGCCTATTTTGGCAATTAATTGCCGAATAGCCAACCATACGAAGACAATAGATGCAAAAGACAACACAACACACAACATAAACTTGCGATAAACATGATGTGAATCAGCTCGTATTTTGGATGTTTTGGCTCCCCTATTTAGGGGTCTCACAGTACATTATGTCGAAACAATTTAGTAAATACAGTCGACCCCCCTATAACACGGGTTTCTGTAGTTCGGATTCCTATATCACGGCTAAAAAATTGCGACAGTATTCGTACAAACAGGCTAAAAAAAACTTGTATAATTCGGTAAAACGTCATCGCCGACTCGTGTAGCGACAGGATTGGTCGAATCTAGACCAATAGCGGATATTGTACAAACCGTTGAGTTTAAACGAGCAGCGGACCTACTAAAAACCATTTATTATTTAACGTCCATAAAAATTATATTTATATTAATGATGTCTCCAAAGTTCAGCGAATTTTTCGCAAAAAAAATAATTTATCAGGAAGCACGCGAGCGCCATTCGATGACAAGCTCCACGACAAAAACAAGCTTAAGCAATGGCGTAGTCGAACGGTGCACGCTCGGTAAGTAATCCTACAATTTTTTGTTTATAGCATAGTTTATATGGATTATTCCCAAAAAATTATACGTATTTTGGAAATGTTGAGTCGAATTAGTCTAGAATCGATTAATTTTATGGAAGAAACCTTTCAAACAGCTGTAGTCCGTAAACTGCATACGTACCGGGCTGTGCAATCGTAGAAAATGGATTCATAAAAACCAGAGCGTATCTACTATATTATTGGGTGGTCGACTGTAGTTAGCCGATATATTTTCTTCTTTATCAAAGCTTCATTAGGTCAACAGGTTAAAAGAACAATTAAAAGTAGAACATAGGCGAAAATATCTTAAACTCAATGGCTACTTTGCGCGAAACACTAGATATGAGTGGACTTAGCAAAGACCCTTATATAATTTCACTAGGAACTTTATTTATATACTTATACCGGGTGAGTCAAGAGTCTATTGCACCCTTTTTATTTCAAAAGTCCAAAATTAGTTGTATTGTATATGAAACACTTGCTCGAAAAATTAACGGCAAAATTCACAAATGAGAATAGCATCTTCGTCATCACTCTACACTTCAGCACATGAATTATAAGCCCAATGGAGGAAGTTCTTAAACGATCCACCCTTCAACAAATCCTGACCCGAACGTAGAGGTTATGTTTGAATCTTGTTAGTCTATGTGCCCACCAGTGGCCAAGCCGTTCTGTTCCCTGAACACTGGGAGTTTGGTCGTGGGTTCGCACCTGACCAGGACGGGCTGGCCACGTGGAGTTTTCTGGGTTTTATCCAAGACCCTTTTTACCCTTTAAAAAAACCTCCCGGAAGGTATCTCCCTAGGCAGATCGCCCAAGTGTTGCGTTGCCGTAACTAATTAAAAAATATGTTAGAAACTGAAAAATTACAAGTACGCCAGTCTAAAGTTCAAAGTGCAATATGAAAGCATAACACTTAACAATCAGTACCATGAGGGAGAAAAAGAGGAGTTTCATTTATAATTATATTTAGTTATATCATTTGTTTTCATTGGCAATCGGTCACAAAAAGACCCACAAAAAATTCTGGGTTTTTCAGTGTGTATGGATGTTAGTGTGTTTGAGGGGGTCACGATTTTGTTCACTCTCTTTAGAGCTTAATAACTCCTATGTTTTATGTCGACATTTTCTGAAATTTTGCAGGGAGGTTTGTGTATTAGGTGGATTTATGCTATTAAATTTTGGTGGTTAAAGGTTGAAGAGGTGGGTACACAGAGGATGATCGTGTGTCATATTACGAGTAAGGTCAGATTTAATGAAGATTTTACTCATTATTAGCATTTACAATTTATTAACAAAACTCATCCCTACCCTCAAAATTAAGCTTTTTACTATTTTATAATNTTCTCTTAAGACTAAGCTTTAAACTTGTTTTTTCATACAAAGTAAATTTGAACCGAGAGTAAAGCCAGATTTTCACTTAGCTTTGATTGGTACGCATTTAAAATCGGCTCAATATGTCGATTTGTAATGATGTCACGCATTACATTGAACACTATAAATAAACAGGCTTTCTTTCTAGATGGTGTTGCTAAAGCTTCTTTTACTTGCATTGTAATCTTAATTGTAATTTACTTGCATCGGATACAATGCTGAGGCGGTTAAGGTTAAGGCTATCGCTCTGGGAAATCCAGGATCGAATTCAGGCGAGCAACTTCCTAAAAAATGGGTTCCGTTCCTCACTACTCGATAGTCCCCATTTTAAGTCTGACGAAATTTATGATCAGCATATTAAAGTTCTCTTACTGCCCACAGGGCAGAAAGAGTTAAAATTAAAGCAAATGATTTGCGGTTTCTTTTTCGTATTTTCTCATGAGAACATTTTTACTATTGAAACATAATTTACCACATTAGTCTCATTTGTAAAAACAGTTGAATTACGTACTTTTTTAACTCTTCCATCCTTGTGGGTACTAAATGGGACTTTTTTTAGCAAGCCCATTATGGCGTTGACCCGGCCACAATGATCGGATGGTAAGAGACAAGATCTAACATACCTGGACAGACCACATCTGAAAAATTCCTATGGTTTTTTGACCATCTGGATTAGTTCTTGTGTCTCCCAGAGTAATTGGCTTCCAACTTAACACTTAACAGTGTGGCCAAACGGCCTTCTAAGTTATGTACTGTATTTCTTTGTCAATTGTTGCGAAAGTTCCGGTTTGTTTTTTCGTGTAGTTTCTAACATTGCCACTTTTTTCAGAAGCGATTGGTCAAAATTATAAGAAGTAAAAAGT